GAAACATTACCTGCCAGCGCACCACAAAATAAGGGTGCTCAGAAGGGCCTATTTCAGGGACATAATGCCTAAATGCTTCTGTCTCTAAAGGTGTCTGAATTTCTTCTCCCTGCACTATGAACTTGAGAAGGCAGGGTAGAGTTATATTTCATCTGCCTTCTTCATAGGAACTTATCAAGTGTAATGGACCTCGACTAAATTGGCCTTCTTCATGCGAAAAAGATATGGACAAATTTTTATTTTTATTATTTTTTTTAAATTCCTTTCAACACATCTACAACCATCAGCATTAAGAAAGGAACATCATGAAGTGGTAAACCATGAGCACAGATGGCTTTTTCTAATGATAAACTGACTGTTTATTTCCACTAGCTATTTTGAACTGACGAAGATGGGGGAGATATTGGTGCACACAAACCAGGCCAGCTCAGACACAGAAGCCTGGCAGGTGCCCACAAAATCATAGTTCCCTTTACAATCATAGAAACAATCACCAACACTCTAAGTGCAGGACTGACAGAGGACATGTTGTTGACAACACTTACACACTTACACATTTAACACTTTCAGAGCAACTCGAATAATGAGTAATTTGTAGCCGACAGACGACGTGTCCTCAGTTTAGAAATCACACAACGCCAGATAACTGACTTTTGTACAGCGGTATATCCATAGACTTGTATGCATTCGGTGCACATATTCCTTTTTGAGTCTATTTTCTACTGAGCCAAAGTACTAGATGTGTAACCCCACTACTCAGCAGTCTTATTGTAAAAAAGAAAAAAAAGAAAAAAAAAAAGTCACTACTATTCCAAGTCTCGTGTACTCATAGCACTGATCTCCGCAGTATTTGTTTTTGTTTTGTTTTGTCTATCAGTATTATTCTGTGTCAGATGTAGAGGCACAAATGTCCATCATCGACCCCACGCAGTTGGAACGCAGATGGACTGCAGAAAAGCGTTCTGATGGCCAGCTGTATGACGTGTCATGAATTGCTCTTTTGTTATTCAGCTGATAAAGGCGAGAAACGCAGGGGAAAAGGATGCGTAGTGTTCCTTTTGTGTGCTGTGCTGTTACACTATGCAAGTTGTGATCCTAATATGTACTGTATACTGCAAGAAAAAAAGAAAAGAAAAAAAAGGTGAGAAGTTGATGTCAAGGCAGAGAGCGGAACGCATCTCCCCTGACATGCTCACACACAGAAGTGTGTCAGTGAACTTTGTACAGACAGTACATGGAAGAAAAAAAATGCACATTGCTGCACTGTAACAGTATCGTCTACTTCTTCCCAACAAAAAGAACTGTGAGAAACGCCTTTCTACCCTGCCTTTTGCTTCTCCTTACCAGGTTTCTATGTGGAGCTTCAATCTAAGCCATCTGTAAAATGTTTGAGATGTCGAGCTTTGCTCTCGTCTCCTTGTTCTCGATCGCATATGACAGATAATTTAAGACAGACTCTCTCCTTACATTCGCCATAAGGTCCCAGATTGTGACATCCAGGTAAAGAAAAGAAACCGAAGTGAATTTTTTTTTTAAACCTTCCAAGTGTCTTCTTCCCTACTCTTTCCTATGATTGTCACCCTTATGTGTGGAAGAATAGTCTTTGCAGTTTCGCTCACTGCACAGACACATATGTAAGAGGTCAGTAAATGTTCTAGCTTTACCAAATGATATCTAACAGGGCGGTTTCCTGGACACTCGAGTCTGTCTGAAAGTAGAATTTTTGTTTTCTGTTCATGGTTTAAAAATGTTCAGGAAACCGATCCTACCAACATGCATGTGCTTCTGTACAGGATACAGAGCAGTGGGCCGGACCCAAACTGAGAGAACTAGACCCCATATACTTTATGGAAGAATTAGCTAAATGATGCTTTTTTCCCTTTGTACTTGTTATGGTTGTATTCTGTTTCTCACACTGCATTATGCATGAGGTCCTCAAATATCTACTTTGTTTTTTTGTTTGACCTGATGATGTTTACTTGAATTTCATGTATAGAAATGACCTTGTTACTTGTGTGGGGTACAACAAAGTCACAATGAAGGTAACAGATACTGATACTGCTACTACGTGTGCAAATGCTTTCCTTGAATAACTACAGAGGTAATATATTTTTGTATTTTTAAATGTAAGCAAACTCATATATGTAACTGCTAACCAAAAAGAAAAGGAGGAATCATGCAAAATGTGCACCATCCTCATACAAAACCCAGTAGACAGCTTCTAGTTGTTGAATTGATATGAATGACAAAGCAGAGGTGAATTGTTGAATGAAGGACAAGGACTTCATGCTGTTGTCAGAGTGCGATCTTCATGTCAGGTGGAGATCAATTGCCCTATGTAGAAGTCTGTAAGCACAATAAGGAAGAAGAAGCTACCCTGCATGTTTTAAAAAGAACCACATTCATATGTTAGTTATCTATCCATCTGTATATATCATAAAACCCTCTTCAGATATTTGTTTTAGTCATCCTCATATGAACATGTCTGATAAGAAACTGTATGCATTCATTTATTGTACTGTTGAATAAAAACATTTCTCCCTATCTAAATAGATTATTTTATTACATTGTTTTACACTATCAAAATGTCTGCTATTTACATGGCACTTCTTCATTGTTCTGCTTCATAATAAAATTTGACAGTGTGGGACAAAGCCTGAGTCAATATGTAAACGAAAAAAGATGTTTGTTCCTCAATCTTACCCTAGAAACTACACACAAGACTCATTATGAGGCAAACTGGACCAGTATGTATAAAACTTCTAGGGCATGGTCTTTAGGATGGTATGGAGGGTTAGACCATGTCCTAGAAGTTACTAAACTGCACAAGTCTTTCATCCCACAAATAGATAAACAAGAGAACCTACTTATTATTATTATCATTATTATTACTACACTATTACACAACTCAAACAAAACACACATATTCTAAATTGCACAACTGTCATTTGAAGCCTGATCTGAAGTCTTGCTTTCATCATCCATCAGTACCAAAATCATATACAATTATAAATACTAAAATAAAGTAACACCTCTCTCTCTGTAGGCAAACTTTTGTCTTTAGGATAATAATATTAATAATAATAATAATAATGATAATAATATTAGTAATAATAATAATTAAAAGACATTTTTCATCCTCCATATCAGAAACTCAGATGAAAGTGAAAACAAAAGCATTCAAAATGCTCCTCCAGCTAGCTTAGATTATTTTAGCTAGCTGGACCCCAGGGCTCACCTGGACATACCTGTACCTGAAGCAACGATAGACTATGAGACTATCCATGAGACTATTTACGCATTAGTTAATCGATGGAATTAATATATATATATATATAACTCTTAAAAGTTAAAGACGGAATATAGTAAATGATTTTAAAATCTTTTTTTTTGCTTTTTCTTTTCATAAGTAACCATGTCAAGTTCAGTATCTTTTTCTTGTTGTGTGGCTGTTTGAACATAAGTTGAATCTTTCTATCAACATATAATCATATTTTCATCAGTATCAGAATTGTCTTTGGACTTTAACATTTATGGTTTATTCTTGCCACTTATTCTCAAAGAGGATTGATTATGGCCATTTTTAGTGTTAATCATTTCATTCTTGTTGTCTACCAAAATAGATTTACATGCTTTAATGTTCTGAAAATATATATTTTTTCTTTTTCTATATATTTTATGCTGCAGTCCATTAACCCTCTCTTAAATGCTCTGTTAGAGCTCAGGACTCGGCACTCTGAAGCTTAATCAGAGCCCAGTGTGCTCTGATTGGTCAGCTTGCCGCAACTACCATGGCAACTATACGTTCCGCACGCAACGGTTGTGGTGGCTTAGGTACGTCCGATCTTGAACCAGAAGATGATAGACCCGATCCACCTTTACAAGCTGGACTGGAGTCGAAAACGAGCGTACCCACTGTCCCGCAGCCGGAAGGAGGGAGACGTATGAAGAGCGGTGCGACTCAAGACGCTGGACAGTCTGCAAACACTTCGGACAACAATATTCATAACTTGGAATACTTTTATGAGAAACCCTTTAGATGTTTTATGTGCGGACAATTCCGGACTAAAGGAATATAAATAATGGAGGAACAGACAGACGGTCAACAGGTAGGGAGTCTCCACCGCTTCACCTCCTGCTGGTTTACGTGTCAGTAAATCGAAATTAATGAATCTTTTGTGCACATAGTTACTGAAAAATGAACTCAGCGGTTAGACTGTGGATAATTTATCTGAGCTAACGAGGTACAGCATGTCAATATTAACAAACTTTAAACATTTATATCTTTGCTGCTGCTTCTTACTGATGTGATCAGGTCATGGTAATGTGGTTAACATCACACACATCCACAATAACAATGCAGACTGACAGGCTGTGAGCATGAGTCCCCTGTTCGGCCACATTTAGTTTAGGGACACATCATCAGTTGTGTACCTCAGCATCATTGGGTGTTCCAGGCTTTTATTCACAATACACCCTCTGCTGAGGCAGACCCACCACAGGCTGAGCAGAACTGGGTGTGTGTCACTATCATCTAGACGCCCAGCTGGAGTTTCTCCTTCTCAGCAGCGTTCAGCAATCTCTGATGTTTCCTTGATGGTCTGGCTCAGGGCTTTGCCGAGGATTCCCAGCTCCTTCAGTAGTCAGTAGTAGTCAGTGGTGAATGTCACTACAGTGCCCTCCACTGGATGGACTATTGCTCTCCAACATTGTTGTTGAGCATCAGTTGGCATTTCAGCATGCCAACGCAGCGTCTTCCTCTCATTCGCTTCATCAACAGCGTCCTCTCAGGGTACTGTCAGTTCTACGAAGCAGACGGTGTTCAGATTGTTGGACCAGAGTACCAGGTCAGGTCCCAGGGTGGTGGTGACTATTTCTGATTGGGCTGTAAGATGCTGGCCTAAATCAGCCAGCATTTCCCAGTCCCAGGCTCCTTCCAGTTGTCCACCAATAGTCAATGGAGGAGGCTTTCTCTGTCCTTGCTCTAACCACTGAATTTGTCAAGAGGGCGACTGCATGCTGGACCTCCGCAAGAGTCTGTACAATTTGCCCTGGGTGGATCTCAATGTCAGTCTGCTCCCTGTAGTGTCACTGCACACCTCAGAGGACAGATGAGCTAGGCACTGTGTCAGCTTCACAAGGCCCACCAGCAGGGCTCCACCACACAGCATCAGACAGGGCCACAGCAGTGCAAACAAGGCCTTCTTCAAAGTGTACTTCCTGGTTAAGATGACGTCCCTGGGGTACCTTGTGTGGTCGGTAAAGCATGATGAAGTGCTCCCCAGCTGAGTGTCCAAGATTCTTTTCATTCTCTGGACTTCAGCTTGAAGATCTGCTCTTTCCATCTGACATTTGGGTATGTAGAAACACTGAAAGAAAAGGTATGACACAGGTGTAATTTTTGTCATTGACCTGCTTGATACGGTTGGTAGTACTGATTACATTCAGTGAGATGAGCTGCAAGTTTCTTTTTTATGCAGTGTGAGCTCTGTTAAAAAAGGAAAAGCCCTGCCTAGCCTCCATTTGCTGCACAGGTACTGAAAAATGTTTCATACAATCTCTTTGAATGGAGCAGAAGAGCAGCACCTCCTGATAATGTCTGCTGGCTTATTCGCAAGGGCACAGGAGTATAGCCACTTCCAGTTTTCCATCCTGTCAGCTAGTTCTGTTTTTTGCCTTTGCCGCTTTCCCAGGTGCTTTCTTAAGTCCCTGCTTAGATGGCTAATATGAAAACCAGGATTACCCTGAGTCCTGAAAAGGAAAAAAAAGCATCTACTAAACAGAGAGGTCCTACATGTCAGTTGTAGTACATAGACATAAAACTTTAATGCTCAAATCCACTCTTCCTGGGTCTTGAGTATTCCTTCCTGGCTCTCGACAAGCCACATCTGGTGCCAAGCAGATCCAAGCCTGAGTCTCATAAAAATAAAAGGTGAGCCTTAAAAGCTGGATTTTACTGCAATAAATCCCTACCTCAGGAGCGAGGAGGACCGATTCTTCATCAAAGTGTAGAAAAGCACTTTGGTTGGAGCCTGTGAGGTTAACCATCACCCTGAGGCATGGTACTGTGCTCACACCTCTGCAGTCCACCCAATCTTTCAGGATGTCAGCCTGCACCAGCACACAACTGGCCTCCTCCACCCAGTTACTGGAAGACAAGAGGCAGGAAGGTTCAGGGCATACCCAGCTCCCAACCTTCTCGTCCCCAACACCTGTAAACTCAAACCACAAATGCACTAATTGTTTCTTATGAGATCTCTTATCCGTGGGATAGTTATTATCTCATTATTTTGACTTGTCACAAATGTTTTTATTTTATTAGGTCTAAATTTTCATGTTTACTTTGCGGCAATGGTCTTCCATAACTCTGTTGATGTTTAAGGAATGTTTCCTTGTTGATCTAGAGAGAAATTTCTCAAACTGACTTTGCAATAAATTATTATTATAAAAGAACAGAAAAACAACTGACACAGTTTTGAAAATCAATTATTCGTTAATCAGTTAGTCATTTATCATGCAAAAATGCAAAAAAAACCTTACTGGTTCCAGCTTGGAATATAAATGGACTGTGTCTCTGACAATTTTAATTCAAGAATTTATCAATTCATCAAAAATATAATCACCTGATAAATTGATAATTAAAGTAGTTTGTAGTTGCAGCCCTAAATGTACTTCCATCATCCTGGAAGACATTTGCATGAGTAAACAACTATGTAATAAAATTTATGTTGTTGTTAAACAATCATTTACAAGTCGTGGTACTGTCTGTTAGCATCACCAAACTGCAGTGTACCTTTTAACAAAGGGTTTGACCATAGTGATGCCAACCACAAAGAACATGAGCACAGAGAAGGCCATCATGGTGAAGCCCAGCAGGATGGCTCTGTCCTCCCCAACACTCGACACCGGCATCTGGGACCGAGCTCGCTGTCCTCCCCATCCATTCACCCCTCTGATCCACTCGTGCTCCTGCCCTGCTGTGGTGTGGAAGCCATCCCTGTGTCTCTCATACAAATACACAAACACATGGGGAGACATGCACACACATATGAATACATGCACGGCCACCAGGGATGTAATGATTGAATCCAACAGCGATTCAGATTTAATTCTTGTTTCAATGCATCAACAAATTTCATCTTCGACTCTTGAGTTGATTTGGTTCATTTGATTCATTTTCTGTTATTTCAAACAACATGATTCCTCTTCAGGGAGAAAATACAAAACAGATTTAGTTAGATTTATATTTTTGAAATTGAAAACACTTAAGATCTAGTACAAAGATTGATATTTATTAGCAAGTTTGAACTGGATGCTGCTTGTGTGTCCATATAATATTTAAAAAAAACATCTTCCCCTAGGATTTCCTCTTTTTACTCAGCTTTGCACAACAGAGAGCTCATAAAAATTTAACCAGTCAAAACTAGTGCTTTATCTGCATTTCTTAGCTATAAACAGAAATCTGTTCAGTGACGAGATACACTTCACCGTCAGTCTAGTATTTTACTTCCATGTGACTTGTGAGAAATCACAATCAAGGCCAAGATATCCGAGTCATAACACAGGCTTTTTTTCTTTTTTCTTTTTTAAATATGAGAAATTTCACTTAAAGCTCTTATATAGTATAGTATAAAGTGAGATTTTCATGTCTTTTTTGATGTAGGTTCTATATTAATACTGTGAAAGTATCACTCAGTCCACCGGGAAATGCACAAAGCCTGTAATCAGAAACTGAGCCTCAAAACGAGCCATCAGGACTCCCGTAACAAGCCCCGCCCACCCAGAGCCACCATCAAACCTTGCAGGATTTGATCTCTCTTAGGTTGTGTCTGAAATCACTCACTCATTCACTCCTCCCTACTCACTCTCCAGGGAGTTCAATGTAGAGGACTGTATGTTCATCGGTAAAATGAAAAATACTTTTGGACACTACTTGGATCATTTTCTCCGCACAGTTTTTCTGTCTTCCAGCGCAACTGCTATACATGATGGTATACGTATATTGCTTGGTTAGTGACCATCAGTTGTACACTACCTTTTGCATTTTGGATACTACGAGTCCACTATATAGGGTATAATAATAGTCACTATATGTTCATACAGCACTTTGGACACAGCCTTATTGTTTACCTGAAATCTGCTATATTTTTATGTGGTCACTCAGAAAACAGGCAGCCAATCAGAAGAGAGGCTCAGAACCTCTCTTCTGATTGGCTCATTGACCTGTTGTTACTAGAGCTCCAGAGAGAAGGCTGAGAGAGGAGGAAGTAAGCCTGTATGGTATAAATCCATGCTTATTTACGAGTGATCTTCCTCTTCACTGTCTTTGTTAACGGACGGGTGCATGTCCGCCAAATGTCAATCAGCAGGAAAGCGTGAAACCAGCAGATAGATGGTGTATTATGTCACCACTGTGATACAAACAAAACCAAAGCCACTCGTAATAGCTAGTAGACAAAAACTCCACAAGGTACCTTCAACAAGGATTATTTTCTTGGAAACTTTCTCCAGGGCCACAGAAGAAGTGTTTACAGACTGATAGTAGTTTCCATGACAAGTACATTTAACTTTATGTGTAGAATCGGTGGAATATTGATTGAATTTTAATCAATACAAAGCTGTGAGCTCTATGCATTTTGCATATTTAACTACTTAACTCTCCCCCTCTCTTTTTACAGCACTAACAAATAAAGTAAGTATAATCATACATACTCATATTTGCCCAAGAGTTGAAGAGTTAAACTTCACTGGTGTGTTTCCTTCATAATGAACTCCCAACACTGTTTTCAAAGCCTCGCTGCCTGGCTCTGTCGATTGTCCTCTCTTACCGTGTCTGCCGCCTACGAGCACCCTGCAGGTTGATGTTAATGGGGATGCTGAACGACCTCCGGGGAGAAGCTGTGCTCAAGAACATGCCCACTCCTATCGCTGCCACCTCCTAGCTCCAAGTAAGTGTAGCCACCTAACAAGCTCCTCTCTATCTGAAAGTCAAATGTCTTTCTGTCAACAACTCACAGATCATCCCGTGTCTTCAACAGGCTCCAGTGCAGCGCAGTGACTGACTGAGAGGACTAGATTGTAGTTTATTCACCGGGGAACTCCCTGTTGTTTACCAAGGCTCAAAGGTGAGTGCAACAACACCTTCCACTCTCATGTGTGTTTCTATAGAAACCACCACAGGTAAGGCAGGTAGGATGCTAATAGCCTCTCAGTGGGCCCGTGAGGCTCAGCTGCATACAGCAGTTTGTCATGGAAAACCTGAATCGCTTCTTGATTATTAACTTTTTGCACAGACTGAAACTAAGTCAGCTTGAAGGACGGGCAGAGAGCAGGACAAGAAGGAGGAGGCATAAAGTGGCAACTGTAAGTCAGATCAACCATCTTTACACACAATAACGCACACATTCAGAAAAAATACTGACCCAAACACATGTGTCCTGCGACATCTCATTATCCCGTTGGGCTGTTGAGCTTGAGACCTGTCAGATTGTCCCGACACCTTGTGAGTGTGTGAGTGCAACATACTGAGCAAGTTTATATCTGTTATTCAAACAATCGAAACTCCTTGTATTATTCATGGGTTGCAGGAAAAACATATGGAGGTATTAACTCGGTGACAGTTCTGTTTAATATAACAAGCCCAAGGCTAGGAACAGCACAGCAGCTTGGAAATGGAGCCAACCATTCAATATAACAGACAGCAATGTCATACCTAATATATTCAGTATTGAATACAATAGAGTGTTATTTTGAATATTCTCTCTTATCACACACTCTGGTGTTAAAGCCCCATATTCTGGCAAATGTTATCATGGTTTATCTGATATATTTTATTACCTCTATAGCTTTATGACTATATTTGATTTATTGTGTTTGTGAACTGGCAAAAGGAGTCTCTCTCTCTCTCTCTCTCTCTCTCTCTCTCTCTTTTTTTTTTTTTGGTTGCAAAAACAGCAAAGTTATTCATATCTGTAACCTACAAAAGAGAAGATACAGGCCTTGCACTTTTCTTCACAGGGTTGTTGGAGAACCAAGTGCTTTTGATGAAACTGAAGAAAACAAGATTAAAAATGTATAAAGCTCAGTGTACTTTACCTCACCTAGTAACCCGAGACATTGCCTTGTCCGTGATGCTCACTGCATGGTGCCGCACCGTGGACGTGTCTCAAACAGAATTTCATCTTTAACATAAATGCCTAATGGAAATGGACTACTCATTTCAAACTGGACTGAAGTTTCTCCAACGCTGATTTGATGTGTTCTGACCTGCGTTTCATGTCTCACCCCTGCTGAGCCTCTTCTATTGCAGAAGCTTTATATGATCTCTGTTTACTATCTGTGTGAGTTTCTGAAATGGTCTTGTACAATGGTGCAACAAATTCCTCTGATTATCCGGGCCAGCAGTGGTAATTGGATACACAGTGTCTCCTGTTATCTGATTAAGTCTCTGAACAACATTTCTGAACAACATGTGCAGTCAGAGGTTGGTGTATAAAAGGCAGTAAGCCACTGAACACAATGGATAATCACCAAAAGAGGAATCTAACTTTTCTTACCATTGGACTGATATTCATGCTGAGCGGCATTGAGTATGGTAAGTTCATTATGACAGCTTTATAGACTTGAAGACATGTGATAATGGTCTCATTAAAGCAGACTGGAAAAAAAAAATGTGCTTGGCATTTTGGCTGTATGCTCACATCACTGAGGATATGGCATCTGATGTAATTCAAATATATTTTGCTGTGGGTAAACGAAGCTTGTCATTTACACATCTCCCTCCTTTTCCTCCGTGCTCGTCCTTCATCATTTGTCTCTGGTGGTCTCAGCCGTCATTCTGCCTACAATATGGAGGTACCTGCAGATTTTGGAGGCCCCTCCTTATTTCCTGGGTCTGGGTCTGTCTGCTTTCAGTCTGAGCGGGCTGCTCACAGGCCCGCTTTTTGGGTTCTGGTCAGACCGGTGCAAAACCACAAAGTCCATCATTCTTTTTTCTAATCTTTTTGAGATTGCCGGTGAGTAGTCACACCAGATGTCAGATCACATGACAGAGATTTAGCGTATGTTTTCAGTTGTTGAGAGATATTCTGTAGCTCTTATTTGGTTTCTGTCTGAAACCATTCACTCATTTACTATTCACCACACACAACACTGTGAATTCCATGTAGAGGACTATAAAGTGCCTCAGATAACAGACTCAAAAAATTCAGGTCTTAGGTCAGTCCTTTTAATTAGTTCCTTTTTTCACACTGTCTGCGCAGTGCATGATGGAAGTTACCTCTCAGTTTGTGAACACAAATTATAGACTGCTCTTTACAATGCATTATGGGGATCATTTGAGTTCATTATGTTGGTTGTAATGCAGATTAGTCATTCAGACAAAACGCTGCCCATAGAGAAATGTAATATTTTACATATATGTCTCTATATCAGGAGTGATGTTGCCACATATGTTACCTATAAAGGGATAGATTATTATCACATATATGCATCCTCTGGAAATACGAAGATATATGTTTATAACATATATGAAACACCCATAGTAAAATTTGTACATGCACATTTATTAAAAATATCTGATTAACTTTTATATGGTTGGCCTATAACATGTTACAAGCATATATGTTAACAATATATATTTAGTCTAGGCTTTATTTGCAAATGTATTGAAACAACATACATATAAAAATGAATATGTTTTCTTATTAATTTCTTATTAATTTTAATATCTTCCCATTCTTGGGAAGTGGTTTCAGACTTTTACACCCACTGTATATAATATCAACATATATTGACAGGCTTTTGGATGGATATATATTTACACAACATATATCTACGATATAAACATACATACTTAAAATTACGTTTGTCTGGGCTAGACATGTATGTCAATATATAAAATTGTTCCAATTTAAAATAAGTTTCATATATAGTTTTTATATGTAAGCCTATGTTTATTTTATATTTAATATTTTGTCTTTTGTAAAGATAATAACGAGAAAGAGTCGACGACAATGCCAGCTACTACTACTAATATTACTACTTAAATAATAGCTTAAAGCTAATGTTAGCATGTCATGACAGTGCTAACAAGTCAATGTGTAGTAGCTGTTTACTATGGTCACCACCTTGTTTAGCGTGTTAGCATGCTAACATTTGCTAATTAGTTCTAAATACAAAGTACAGCTGAAACTCATTAGATTTACAGGCATTTAAACCAAAGTATTGGAGAAATTTAAACTTTGATCTGATAGCACTAGATAAAATGTTGAGGTTGTCACAATTTATCTGGAGGAAAACTAATTTCATGACAATCTATGTTGTTGAGTTGTTTCACTCACAATCATAAATGATCATTTGCTGGTGAGCCAGAGTCATTAGGATTCATCCTCTGGGCACCATGAATGTCTGTACAAAATGTCATGGCAATTCACCCAAGACAGTTTTACATTTTAGCTATGCTGCTGCTAGTATCGCTAAAACTGACATTCAAGTCGAGCATTTGTCTGAAACGGAGATGCATTTTTTTCATTTCTATTTTTCATTTCTCAGGTAACTTCATGTACTTTATTGGATATTCAAAGTGGCTGTTGTTATGGAGTCGACTTGTAGCAGGTGACACACACACACATACATGTAATGAACACCCTGAGCATGTACTGTACCAGCAACATGTAGACATTGAGACCATGTAACAGAAGGATGCTGTTCATCTCTCAGGTGTCGGCGCAGGAGCAGGCTCCTCCATCTTTGGTTTCCTAACTCGGAGCACTCGGCCAGAGGAGCGTGCCAGTATCTTCGCTGCCATCATGGCCTGTCGACAAGCTGGCCTCCTTGTCGGTCTGTCCCCCCTCCACCTCCCTCCCCCCACACCCACCCTTCATCTTACCGCAGAGAGAGGTGTCACCTCAACTCTCTCCACCTCCTCTGTCCTCTGAGAAATATCAGACAGAGAGAGATTTTGTGATGTCTTCTTTGATGTGCAGTTTCAACTGTGAGAAGAAGACATTCAATAAAATCACCAAGGTTGAGGCTATACTGTCTCCACACATCCTCTGTTTTTATTCCATCTCCTCTTTAAAGTGCTTCCTCCTGTCTCTCCAGGGCCGGCGTTCAACCTGTTCCTGCGGCTGTGTGATTTCAAACTGGGGCCCTTTGTTGTGAACAAGTATACGTCTCCTGGGGTAACAGCATCCACATAATCAGTAATCTAAGGTTCTACAAAAGCCTCATGAATACAGAAACAATCTACAGAAATAGTCGCTGAGCATTCTGCACTCCTGCTGCCTCACATGTAGTTTTTGTTCTCCTCTGAGTAAGAATACAAAACACCTGCAGCAATACTCAGGCCCGTAACAACCCATATCGATCTATTTCCATCTCATGGGTCTCTGAATAAAACACCTGTAGCATGGATTTAGCTTAAATGAGAAATAACAAAGCTTCTCTACGCCTTCTTCCATTTTCCCACATAATTTGACACTGCATGTCTCTTGATTTAACTGTTCCGGGTTGATTTATTTTTTAACATTGTCCTCCGTATATCAAATACTTCATCTCTCCTGATAGTTTTCTAGGATTCTGATGTCAGGAAAAGAGCATTTTTTTATGTTAAATTCTAAAATATTCTTGTCTGTATCCTCCATACTCTCAGATCTTCATGTGCCTGTTGTGGATGCTGCTCCAGTGCGTTGTCCTGGCTATGTATTGGGATGTACCACCCATCAGCTCAGAGGGTGGAGCCGTGATGGTGGAGATGAAACAGGAGGAGGACGATGAGGAGGAGGTGCCGCTGATGGGTTCCGATGAGGAGCCGGTGCACACTTACAGAGCTGTCAGCTCCAACCAATTGGAGATCTCCACCTCGTCTGAGACGGAGCCCATCCATGGCTCCTCCACGGTCTCGAACCCCTTCAGAAACTTCAGCGCCAGCAGAGGTGAGCGAGCAGGTTTGACACGCCTGTCCTCAGCAATGACTGTCAGTTTTCCTCAGCTCTGTTTGTGGGGTTCAGGTAGGAAGACGTGTCACTGCCGGTGCACATGTTTCTTATCTGCTCTATTGATTTTCTTGCAAACACACACACACACACACACACACACACACACACACACACACACACACACACACACGCACACATGCAGAGAGAGAGAGAGAGACTAAGAAAGTACATAAGAAGTTAATCGATAGTGGTAACCACTGCTTGTATCCTATGTAAACTTACTATAACACTAATCCAATAGGACACCTGACATCATATATAATACACACACATACACACTCTGACATAAACCAGAAACAAACACACAAGACCAATCAATACACAGGGAATCTGATCTGACGTGCCATGCAGAATTCCTCAAGAGAGAACTGGAGAATGGAAAGTGTGTCTCAGTATGAGTGTGTGTGTGTGTGTGTGTGTGTGTGTGTCTGTGTGTCTGTGTGTCTGTGTGTCTGTGTGTGCACGTGTGTGTGCATGTGTGTGTGTCAAACTGCTGCATCGATTCTCTCACTCTTTGAAGATGTGGCAAAGGGATGGATAGCAGACTTCCTTTTTTATTGACTGGCTTGCTGTGGTTGACCTGTGGATGAAATGGAGGCAGAATTGTTAATGTGGCCAACATTCGTCTTATTGATTCCATTTTGTTTTAAAGAAAATCTGCAAAACTGGAGAACATCTGCAGCTCTAGCATATACTATATGAGTGTCTGTTAGCCGTTACAGCATGTCTGGTATTGGCTCTTGTGAATTATTGATCTTCCTTGACTTTTTGTGCATTAGTGAGGAACCTTTGAAACTCGGACAGATCTTTCACTTTCTTCCATCAAGTCTTGTTTTTCTGGTTCGGGTCGTGGAGAAAAGATCAACGAAATTAAAACCTGTATGAAGTTTTGCCTTTGGAAAAAGGAAAATTATACAACTGTCTTTCTTTCCCTCTACCTCTTTTATGTATTTCTTTTTAAATGAATATTGAGTGTATTGGCAAGATAAGGGAAAGTCATACTATTTGTTGCCAAAGCATTAAGTCTGAACTGGGTCAGTATTTCTACACATGTGCAAATCCCCTGTGCACATGTATGCATACATACTTTCACTTGCATCAGTATCATGTTATTGTAACCTTCCATATTTACAATTAATAAGCAGTATATAAATAATAAAAAACAGTTTAAAGGGATAATTGGACAATTCTGTTTTGGGATGTAGACTCACAATAGTGACTTAAAGTCAGGGTATCTTGATCTCTGCTGCATTGCTTTTTTGTTTTTAATAAGTCTCTCAACTTTATGGAAATGAACCTGAGGAGCCCTATTAACACACATTTACCTACAAACAAACTGTATATGTATATGTGCACATACACATGCAAAAGTATACAAAAACTAATTCATGTGAAATAACATTGCAAACACTAAACAGAGGAAACTCAACCATAGTAGATCACACACTGTAATATCAAGCCATTCTTCCAGCCATCTGGCACGTATGTCCAAATTTAGCAGCGAGCCCAGCTCCTTTTCCCTCCTCTCCAAGTCCATAAGGGAGTCTGCGTTCCAGGAAAAGCTGGTGTCAAAATCTGGAATTTATAAAAATACATTTTTTCTTGTGTTATCGTTTTGGATATAAGAAAAAAAGAAATCACACTTATCTCTTGAAAAGAAATACAGTTTATTGGACTAGAGGATCAACATGACCAACCAGCCAGGATTCGTTACGCCTGCCTCTTTCAGCCTAAAGATTACTTTCAGATAGTCCAAGTTTTCTTTTCTCTTTAAACTTCTTTATCTCGACAAACCTTGCCAGTCGAAACTTTCAATTTCATGTTACCACTTGAGCTTGTTTTATGGTTTTCTCTTCGGCTTCTCTGGTTTTTCAGTATATCGCTCTGTCTCTCACTCTGCAGAGTTCCTGAGAGAGGAGGTGGTTGTTCTCCTCACGGCTCAGTTCATCACTCTCTTCAATCAGACAGCGCTGGAGGTGAGAGCAGTTACCGTTGAGATCCATCAGCCCAAGTTTCCAAACATTTCACACAATGTCACAGTATTTTACCCAGGGTTTCATCCACACTGCATCCATCTGAGCCTTACCTGGAAAGACCTGTGCTGCTACTTTGAGAAAATAATCAAGTATCGCTTCATGCTCAAAGTAAAACGAATGTAACAAGTGAACATAATCAATCCCTATGTTGAAAAATGAAGAGGCTTTTTCTCTCCTCATTAAATTGTGGTGACTGAATAGTCACACAGTGCTGACCTGGATTCTAATCATTTTAATATCAAAACAGAACACTCCTTTTGATCTGGACTGAATGAAGCCTTTGAAGGACTTAAAAGGTGCTTGTTTCAGCTCTAATAAGACTCTCCTCCTCTACCTCTGACTGAATCACTTCATCTAACTGACTGACCTTGTGAAATCTTTCTAAAAATCCCCAGACCATGGTGACTCCTATGACGCAGCGCTACTTCAGCTTCGGTGAGCTGGGCAACAGCCTGATGTACAGCCTGTGTGGGGTGGAGGTCATCCTGGGCTTCTTCTTTGTGCGCTGGCTGAGCAGGAAGGTGGCGGACCGAGCAGTTCTGGCTGTGGGCCTGGTCATCTGTTGCACCGCCTGTATCTGGTGCCTCATCTTCCTCTGCAACCCTCGAGGTGCTTACTTGTCCAGGAAAACATGCAAACACGCCCAGACACACATGCAAAGGCACAGACAGACTCAAAAATGGCTCGTACACTGTGCCAAATCCTTTCTGTGCTACGGATGTGTAGAGCACAGCGGAGCCATATTGGGTTACACACTGACTGAATTGAATGTGCTCTGTAAATGATATCATTCAGGCTCTGGCAGGCCAGCAGGAGATCATACAGGCAAACTGGATCCTGTACGGTCATGTTGGCCTACGTCTGTTGCAGCTCGTCACGTTTATCGCTCTGATTATAAGTAACAGGTGCTGGAGCTGGGGAGTGCCTCAGTACATATAAAAGGATTACAGTAATCTAATTAGACAAAAATGCTATTTGTTAAAGCATATCCTACATGTTTGCTAATTTTTTTTACAATTACAGTTAAATCAACCAGACAAAGAAATAGAACCTACAATGCAGACACCTGAAGAAAAGTGAATATTTTCCTTTAGAAAGAAACATGTTTGACTGGGTGAAATGAATTTTGATTGTAAGATTATAGACTTTCAGCTTATGCAGGAACATCCAACAGTTTGAGTGGGCACAAATTCACACAAACATGTGCATGATGCAAAGCAGCAGAGAACAAAAATGTAGTGGCTGCCAGCTTGGCAGTGGTTTCATTTTCAGATAGAGCCATCTCTGGTGGTGCCAACCCATTTGTGGAAGGAACTTAAAAACTGAGAGAAGAGGGGCTGGACAACTGAAGTATGATCTGTCACACACTTTTAATCATTATCACTACATATCAGGAATAAAAAGCAACAAAATATTATGATTTAATAGCTGTGAGGGCTACAAAATATATTCATTATAAATATGTGAGAGGTGGTATATGATTACAGCCTGTAAATGTAATTTTATATGTATAATGTATATAATTTGTGGGCAAACAATTGTAATTCAGTCATACTGTGGTATTATCTTTCCATCCCTGCCAGGTGGTTATGGATGGGAGCTGACAGCCTTCATCATCGGGGTGTTTCTGCAGCTGCTGGGGCTTCCCTTCGTGGCCGTGTCTCAGGTGTCTCTGTTCTCCAAAGTCACTGCAGAGAAAACACAAGGTTGGCTCATTTTACCTTGGCGCTGTTTGCTTGATTAAACGTCGCCTATTAAAACAACAGGTTGCTGCTCAGCGTATATGTGATGCAAAGAGCCATATTTTAATGCTTGTACATGAAATAATTAACCTGTAATTCTTGGTGATGTGTCTCCTAAAGGATTCAGCCAAGGTGTCAGACGCTCCATTGGGGGCCTGGCCACCATCTTGGGTCCTCTGTGGGCTGGAGGACTGACCAATAATTTGTACATAATGCTGGGCATGATGCTAGCTCTCCTCATCATGATCACAGTAAGCAGAACACTGCTCCTTTGGACATTTAATTGCATCAATCAGATAGAAAAGTGGTAACATGTTGAAATGAAGGAATAGTACATTTTGGGAAATATGCTCATTTGCTTTCTTGCAGTGGGTTGAACTAGTATTAATAGTACTAAGTAATACATGCGGGGATTCGAACCGGGGCCGACTGCAGCGAGGACTGTGGCCTCTACATGTGGAGCGCCTGCTCAAACAACTGTGCCACTCGACGCCCCATACTAAGTAATAGTTTGATATAAACTGTATATAAAGCTACATCCAGCTGCTGGTTAGCTTACTGGTTAGCTTAACTTTTAGCACAAAGACTGGAAACAATCTTTAGCTCACTAATAAAACACTTCATATTTAATTTGTTGAGACAGTTCCAAAACAAAAGACTTTAATTAGTTATTATTTTTATTATTTATTTAGTTATTTTTAATCATATTTAATTAGTTAGCTTTGGAAGTGGCGTTAGGAATTTTTTTTTCAATTGTCTAAAATAGCGAGGCTAGCTATTTCACTCTGTTTTGAGTCTTTAAGCTAAGCTAATTGTCTACTGTCTGTAGATTCATATTTAAAATACGCCTTCCAGTACCTCTAAAGCTCAGTAGATAACAAGTTATGTTTAATGCTTACAAAAGTCAACATAAAAATTACAATTTGTGGTTTTACGTGGGGTTATGTGTTGGGGTACATTCGGTTCCTGCTAAGATGAGCTATCCTACTGAGTGTAGCTTTATATTTACTGCCGAGGCATGAGAGTGGTATCAATCTTCTCATCTAACTCTCAACAAGAAAGCAAATGAGTGTATTTCCAAACAAAGGTTTTATTATTGCTTTAATTTTTATATTTTCTAGGAGCTGGAATTGACTCTTCCCCCTCAGTGTACCTTCTCCATTTGAATCCCAAAGCTGTGGATTAAGAAAACATTTTCTTTTCCAGATACCCAAACTGAAAAACTGTAGCTATGGGGTGTAATTCCCTGTAAAACCCTTAACTCAGCATGTCTTTGATAGCCTCTACTTATTACTTGGTGCTGTCTATTCTCTAAAGCCATATCACGCTGTACATTTTTGCAGGTTATGACAGCACTGTCCTACGATCACCTGATTGAGCCCAGGGCAGTGCAGCATGCCCAGAGCTCTGACAGCGGAGGATAGAGCTGCGGTCTGTCTGAAGAGCAGGAGAGGCTAAAGTCGGACAGAGGGAATGCCCTTCACTTCGGAGAGAGAATCGATATAAGTTCGCTGCAGAGGAAAATGTATGAGTGTGGAATAAAAATGTTCAGATAACCTGCTGTACCTCAGAACCTGACATAGAGGTGATCACACTGCACAGGTAAAATACCGTATGTTTTAAGCAATGCACAACCTTTGTTATCTGTATATGAAGATTTTTATTAGAATCCGTCTTGTATGTACATCATCACCGGACTATTAATTATATTTTACACAAGAGGGCACCATTGCTCTCATATTGAATATTCAGGGGCGTAATTGAAGATGAAAGCCATTATTTTTAAACTGAACTATTTATATTCCCATGTGCTGATGAAAAGATAAGAGAGCAGGTATCTTCATGTGACCCATGTACCAAAATTTTTGTTTCTTGTCCCAAGTCTTTCTTCCTCTAAATAAAAAAAAAAATAAAAAAAATCCCTCTGGAAATGAAACAGTTGACACAATGAGTGCAGAAGTGGAGTTGTCAACATCTTAGCAGCTCCATGTCAGTGTAGCTGATAGAAGAGGAGGGTCAAAGAGAATGAAGCTGTACAGATTTCTTGGTATTTACTTGTAGTGTTGGAGGAAATTTGAGCACTTTTATTGTTAAGATCTAACACACAAAGCCTTGGATCTAATGAAACCAGTTTGATTTTATCTGGATCTATTTCTCTATATTTTATGTGCAAATGAGAAGCTCTTGCATTAAAACCTAATTTAAAAAAAATACTTGTTAATTAGCTTTCTTTATCTTTTTACTATGGGGGGATTTAAAGTTTAATTGACCATATTCATAATTCAAAACATGACAAGGTGTGAGTAGTGTATAGTCAGCTGTTCTTGCCTATATTCTCCTCTAGGATGTGCTGTATGCTACACATCTGCATCTAACAGGAGAATGCTGTAAGCAACATCAAGGCATTGTAGATTCCCTTTGTACCAATGAACATGGGTTCGGCCAATCTCTGTGTTTTTGCATAATTGCAGATAAGGCTCAGTAACCTTTCCAGTTTTCTACACTCAGCATGTGATATTTGGCTTTCCAAAGGCTTTTCGCCTAAAATGGAAATTCTAATCTCAGGGACTCAAGGACATAATATATATAAGTACTTTCATGCCCTGATCAGCGTATTCAGGTACTTGACATTTTAAGGGAGATAACAGGGTGCATAGAATCAGGTCAAGCCTGAATTTACTCTCTTTGAACTGACTCGCTTTTTCAGCATGATTCCTGCTGTCTTGTGTTTTTAAAGAAACTCCTATACAACAATCTAAATATACAAAACTATTTTTAAAGCCCCAGAAGACTTTCATTTCAATCTTCAGTTTTTCTCTATAATATTAAATATTAACTGTTCAACAAGCATCAATTCGTTTTAAAAAAAAAAATCAACATTTCCTAGGTGAGATATGTGAGATATGTGAGATATGTGAGATAAAGCACATTGTTCCTCTCACTGTTTAAAGGTTGAATTCATGAGCAGTAAAAATGCATCCTTGCTCAATTCAATATACTTAAGTCTTTTGCTGCTGCAGCGTCATTGGTTACTGGTATGACCAGTAGCTTCTGGTGGCTAATGTTAACTAGCGTTAGTTAGCAAACTTTTGATGTCTTGAGCTGTGTAACCATGACATCACTGAGTTTGCACATTCATCACTTCTGCTAATGTTACCCTACATTTTAACATAAATATATTATATAATATAAAAATAAAACAAGAGGTAAATACACTGTACCTCACCAGCTGACGTTGTCTTTTGTGTTTATGCAGAGTTGCATCACACTCAGGGCTGGGTGGGTGTGGTTTGACCAGATTTGATCAACGGTAACTTGACCCATCAACTGTCATCTGATTCAAATGTTGCTAAATCCTGATTGGTTCTCAGGAGTATGTGACATCACCTTTTTCTAACTAAGTCCCGCCCACCTCAAAAAAGTGAGAACAGAAATCTTTCATGTGAAAGACTTTGGTAGAAAATAGTATATTCATGTAGGACCCCATCACTCATAGTAAAAAGGCCTCTAAAGAGATTGCATCAACTCTATGTTATTATATAATTTAAAATGATAACGGTAAGAGGTTTTTCTATGTGGCACCGGAATATGAGACAAACCAAGACAAACCACTTGTGCTTTATTGTGATCATCCTGCTTTCATACACAAGACAGTCTGGATCAGTGCAGTCAAGTATCTTCTGGCTCAGCCTCTGTAACAGCCTATAGAGGCGGCACACAACCCCCCAAGGACATGAATAAAAAAGTCAGAGGCCATGGACTTTTATGTTAAATATAACAAAGGTCTGCACAGACGCACAAGTTATGAAATTTTAAAGATACACAGAACAACCATTTGATGCAGAAGCCAACGATGATTTCTGTGAACCATGGATGAGAGTTTGTCGCTATGGAGATGCAGTTTTGTGAGGAGGAAAGTAAGAAGCCAAAGATAAAATGATGTTATGTAATTGGAGTGTGGAATCCCTGTTACTCTGTGGATCTGGTTGTGGAACAGATGAAGGTGTAGCAGAGCTTTAGTGGAAGTATCCCCGTGTTGTACTACTACATGGCTATAAATGGCTCAGTCTGCTTTCTATATACTAACTGTTTTCATGCCACGTCGAGGAAGAATAACTCGGTTACGTGCGGTTATTTCGGTGGATTGTAAAAATGTCTTGGTAGCTGTAACCACTAGTCGGTGTTCAGTGCTTTACTTCTGTTGTTGATGTACACTGAACTGAACAGTGAAGCAACTACAGTTTAGTCTTATCCTTGATTGTTGTGAGGTACAGATTACACCAAACCTGGGTGGTTTATCTCTGCGCTTATCGTTACTCTGAGACGATACACAGACTTCTTGACCCTCACAACCTCTCCTTTGTTATGATGTTGCATTTTTTAGGGGGGGGGCACATTTTTAGGATAAATTTGACCATTTAACGCCTTTAAATCAAGATAACTTGTTGGAAAAAAATTAAGTTTCCCATTGTTGCTCTAAGGCAACAGTAACACCATGCTCTATAATGGTAATGTTTTGTTTGGGGACAAAGGGAAGCTAATCTAGTAAGGTCAGTTTTGTAGGTTGTAGCACTGTAGAGGCAACACAAAGAAACATATTCTTCTCAGAATTAGATATGTCTTAAACCAAGAATGATCCATCCATATTAATAGCATTTTTTGACGTGACTGGTGGAAGTAATGAACAGGAGAGAATAACATAATCATGCAAATATACTGTATTTCCTCTGCAAAGGCAGAGTGCAGAAAATGGGATCCTCATGTCTGTTTCACGACCAAAAGCACCTGCTTCCTGAGGTAATGTGAAGCCAGAGGCAGAGGTTCATAAAATATATTGGAAAAACAATGGTGAATTATTACATAAAAAATAATGGGGTGTTTCTTATTGATATATAATCATAACACCCAGAGCTTCCAAGAAAAAAATCTCTCCAAAAAACACAATTCATGCAGTAATGTTTTAATAAACTATGTTCACATTTTATCAAAGGGGAATTTACCGGTGGCTTTTTTCATTTTTTTTGCTCAGAAGGCAAATTGACGCTGTCATCTAACAAAGATAAAGCTAATTGGTCACAAAGAGGAAAACAGCATTTGACTGGAGCCAATGTATAACAATTATGTTAGCGGTAGCAGAGGGGCGGAGAGTGGCTCTTCTCGTCCTGATGGTATTAGCCGGACTGAGGATGGCTGTTAATGGCTCGTAGATGATAGATGAGTTATCGTTTGGAGAAAAATATGAAGGGTGGGGTGGAGGGTGTGGGGAGTAGAATCAGGCCAGCTATATTCATATTCCATGATTCACCCCCCCCCCCCCCCCCCCCCCCCCCCCCCCCCCCCCCTCTTTGTCTGGTATTAGCCGGACTGAGGATGGCTGTTAATGGCTCGTAGATGATAGATGAGTTATCGTTTGGAGAAAAATATGAAGGGTGGGGTGGAGGGTGTGGGGAGTAGAATCAGGCCAGCTATATTCATATTCCATGATTCACCACCCCCACCCCCACCCCCCAATCCATATTTTGTGCAGAAAGATTTGTCCTTAAAAATCATTTAATAAGAGGTTTCATTTCACAGGAATATATTTATTCAGGGTGTAATTTTGTTTCCTTGGTGAAAGTATTCATTAAAATTTTTTTTTAAATAGATGTCAGCGCTTGGTCTCCTGCCAGCTTGGTCAAAGATTTACAGTTTCACCGTCATTGTTGCTGACTTAAGGCTCTGACTTCTGGATGTCATTGCCAGGGTGTGGCACAAGTCCAATAATGTGTGTGTGTGTGTGTGTGTGTGTGTGTGTGTGTGTGTGTGTGTGTGTGTGAGAGAGAGAGAGAGAGAGATTTAGAGGAACTGCTTGTCACACACACACACACACACACACACACACAAGGAGGGGAATTTGCGACCAATTATGTGAAAGTTTTTCTTTATCTAATTTGCAGTATTATGTGTGTGAGCAGGCATAATTGGATGAGAGTTTGAATCTACACCTTATAGCAATATCGAGATGGGCGACTAATGAGCTGACAGGGGAGTGGGGAAAGAGAAAAGAGAGAAGAGGGGACAGTGTGTGCTCATGGCTCGGTATCGATGAATACAAATCACAGTTTTTCATGTCCCCCTTTCTTATAAGCAGCTTTGGAATCAAAAACAGGACTAGCTGGCAGGAAGGCAAATGATTTGATTTATGACATATGATGCCGGTGCTCGGGGGGGATGTATATGTGTCGAGGCTACAGTCGCTCAGGTAGCCTCGCTCTGCATTTCATATCACTGTGTGTTTGTATTCTGCGCGGCTGGCATCACCTCAGATACATTGAATCAATTGCCTCCACCCACACCAACCATCCACCCCCGTACTCATATGTGAGCCTTAGTGAAATTAATGCCTTCGGGACATACACAAGCGTTGAGTTTAAGGCAGCCTCGCTCATTGATTGGACCCCATTGTAATAGCAATGGAAATATATTCAGATAATTATCAGGCTCATTTAGGTATGTGGCTTGCTCATGAACATGGTGTTGCTTTGTGAAGAGAGAGAGAGAGAGAGAGAGAGAGAGGGTTGTTTTTCTCAGCAGCAGCACCAGAGAGCCTCAGAGCTGACAGTAAATTTGCTCATCAACCACTTTCGTTCCAGTGTGAGGTAAAAATTATCCAATATTTCACGGTCTGGCCCTTTGAAGGTGGCATTACTCAGCAAAGCTCAATGTGCTACGGAGCCGAAACAGAATAGTGTTCAAAACTAACACCTTATTTCAGTGGCTAGTTGCCGGCCGGTCCAGCCCCCTGCTTGAAGAAATGATGAAAAATAAGAAGCTCGTCTTATTCACTGTTGCATATGACTGAGTGTGGTAAACAAATCAAGTAAACAACCAATCCCCATGTTTCATTTCACCCTCCTTTATCCTCCTGTGGCAGTAAAAAGCCTGCTCATGCTTGTTGTCTGACAGCATTAAGGTGAAGGTTTATCTGCGCATGGACCTGTGGGAGCCCATTGATCTCATTAACACTATATGTGAAGAATATTATAAAATGATGAGAACTTCATAGGAGGTCAGCCGAGGATCAATATTAAATCCTATCTCATTTATAATCCTGCTGAGCGGAGAG